TCGGCGGGGAGGAGCCCAGACAGGAGGGGGCGGCCGGGGAGGAAACTTGGGGACCGACCTGCCTGGATTCCGGGCCAGGCCTCTGGTGCAGAGGGTCATTCCTGTGGGGGCCGCACAGGCAGGGAAGCTGGGGGCCCAGGGCAGGAGGCCCTCAGGCCCTGCCCTCTGGCCTCAGTTTCTCTGGTCGTCAGGCCGTGGTCCCCGTGGCTCAGAGCTGCTGCCTGGAAGCCGCCGAGGAGGGGAGGGAGGGCCCGTGTGACACCCTGGATCCAGTAACTGGGCAGGCAGAACCTGGAGACTCCCGTTACCTGCACCCCACTCCTGGCCCAAGAATCGGGCAGCCCCAAGAAAACAACGCTTGAAGAAGCCAGGTGTGGTAGCACATTCTAGCAATCCCAGCAGTCTTGGAGGCTGAGGCAGGAGGATTACAAGTAGGAGCCCAGCCTGGACAATGTGGCCAGACCCTGTCTCAAAAAACAAAAAAGACTGGGGATGTAGCCCAGCGAAAGCCCAGTACCAGGAAGGGAGGGACAGAAGGAAGGGAAGAAAGGAGAGAGAGGGTTTAAGGGAACCTCACAGAAGGGCACAGTGGGCACACTCGTCACAGGACCTGGTCAGCGGGGGACATGCGCAGTCCTGGCGTCTTTCCAGAGAGACCCTGGAGCAGATAGGAATTTGAGGCCCAAGAAGGCCGGGTCACACTCCGAGTCCCATGGGGCGGAGGTAAGCTCTTACCAACGGGTGTCTCGCACCTGCACATCCACCCTCCCACCCGTCCCCCACACTGCGCTGTTCTGATTCCCCAGCCACCCTTAGCCTGGTTGGGCAGCTCTTGGCTCTGAAGTGGACGCTCCTATGTGCTGGGTGCTGCCCCTGCTCTCACCCTACTTTGGCACCCCGGTTCCTACCCAGCCTGCAGCTCAGGCTGCTGCCCTCCCTACTCACCCCCTCTTGTCCTTTCCTCTTCTGAGTCACTTGGCTTCTCCGCTGGGCATTTCAGTCCCAAGAATCCTAGCACTGGGAGGCTGAGGCAGGAGGGCTGCTGCAGGTTTGAGGGCGGCCTAGCTCCATAATGAGTTCAAGGGCAACCTGAACTACATAGTGAGACCCTGTCCCAAAATTTAAAAAAAAAAATTCAAAAACAAAGAACTAGACCAACGCCCCCCCCAAATAAAACAAAACAACAGCGGGGGGGTGTCCCTCCGTGCCACTCTGCCGCCTCCCGCAGCCCCCCACTGGGGCTGAGGCTCAGAGAGGGCCTTGCCTGCCCCTCCTGCTCACAGGCTCTCGCTCAGGCCTCGGTGGGACCCCAGCGTGGGAGCCTTTTGGGGTCCCCCACCCGGAGTCTGCCTTGGGGTCACTGCACCGGCACAGATCTGCCACCCTGTGG